GGCCAACCCCAACGCTCTGACTCCCTTCGACCCGCAGACCTCCTGGTCCGACCCCGACTTCTCGTACTGCACGACTGACTCCTGCCGCAAGGCCTGGGGTCTCCGTATCATCAACAGCTCCGAGACCTACATCTATGGTGCCGGTCTCTACAGCTTCTTCGACAACTACTCCCAGACATGTCTGGCCACGGAGTCCTGCCAGGAGAACATTGTTGAGGTGGACTGCTCCGACGTGCACATCTACGGACTGAGCACCAAGGCCAGCACGAACATGATCACCTCGTCCAGTGGCGATGGCCTTGTCCCGCAAGAGGGTAACGAGAGCACATACTGCTCGACGATCGCCTTGTTCGAGCAATCGTCATCTATTTAATTTGTGCTTTTTACATCAGAGACAATACATACATACAGTGATAAAGCAGTTATTTGTTTTCTCGATGCCCTTTGGAGGGAAGGGATCTTAGATGCATTTGGGAGGGTTGATTGATTGTTGGGGAACACACATACGGATATACCACTTTGTTATCACAATTTATATTTTTGCCTACATCCACTCATTTTATCCTTCTATTCTTATCCCATTCGTTACATCTATTTGTTCTTTACTGGCTTGGTAATTGAGGTGGTGGTGAGACTGGTTATGGTGTGTAGGGGTAGAGGTTTCCCCATGTGGCTATACAGTAGTTGAAATAAAAGTCAATGATCAGATTGCTTCTATCGTACTATGATGATGTTAATCGTATCTCTTCGCTTTACATGGTTCGTTGAGATTGAAAGATTCCATACATACCCTCATAAGCATTATCATTGTCCCTCCATCACTACCCTCCTAATTCCTTAGCAACCAAAGGTCAATAGTGAACATAATCCATCTACAATAGATCGTTTCATCTCTCCCCAGCCTCCTCTGACTATCCCACCCATATTTCCACTATTTCGTATCTGTATTATCAACTAATTTTTTCCTCTTAGTCCCTCTTTCTCTAAACTATATCATCCTTTGGTGATACCCACTAGCTATCAACAACCAAAAGCCATGACAATAACAACAATCCACACAACCGACTTGGCTACTTATCCAAGACAACAAAAGAAACAAAGTGACAAGCAAACAATGTGGATCCAAGCAGGTGATTATACATTTCTTTCATTTACTCTCTATTGTACATTGTGTTTATTCATTGTGCTATCTTATTGTATTATATGGTACAATAGACATTGTGGAGATGGGTTATTTCATTGATTAGCTTGGCTAGAGTGAATGTGAATGAATACATGGGAAGTGGGGTATTGTTCAATAAGAAAAGCATGAATAGGTCTATCGAGGAATTTACTGAGTGTTTAGTTGATGCTTTGGATAAATAGGGATCTTCCTACATTCAGTCTGTGTTTAAGGTGGGTTACTTGGGATGATGGTTGGGTTGGAGATGAGTATTTGTTTGCTTAACTACTGTTCTGTGATGAATGATCAGTTTGTTTAGACTTCTTCTGGTTGTTTAGGTATGGTTCAGTGGTTGGTTATTCTCTTGCTGGTAAGAAGTATGGTTTAGTCTATTGGTTATAGTATTGGAAAAGAAAAATATGGGGTCTTTTGTTTTCGGTTGTATGAGTAAGGGCGTAGAGGCATGCTGGTATTACTCTATTGCATCGATGTTCTAGGGCGCGGATGGGTTTACTGGGGAAGGGAAACGAGGGAATTGTAGTCGTAGAGCGAAAGGAAGGTAGTGTTACACCCTCTTTTGTTGAATTAAGCATGATCGCAGTCGTGTGTATGTGGTGTTTGGTAAGACTCGAGGTTCCATCGTAGGGTAGGTAGGGTTATATTGACTCGGCTGTGTAGCTGGAAGGGTTTGGGGCCATGTACATGACTAAAAGTCAATGTAGCTGTTCCTGTTATCTCTGAGTGTTAGCACATTTTCATCTGTCTCATGTCCTTAGTGGTTGGCTTTGCAAGCATGATGCTGGATACGTATCCGCATTTCCTTGGATGTGTATGTGTGTAAAGAACGAAGATCTCCCCCAGTCTCTCCCTTGACAGTAGAGTGCTAGAAGCTGGTAGAAATCGTTCGATCACGATAGCTGACTAGTATGATCATTCAGTGTGGTGTGAGGTAGACCTGGAGGACAGTGTCTGGGAACTTGCAGTTCCCAATACCATCGAGTTCCGACTTGGGCACTGGCGGATTGGATTGATCAGATGACCCTCACGAAATCTGCGGGAGTATTCTGTTGCTTCTTGCAAAGGATGGGCACAGGAGCAGAAACACTACCTGCCATATCGCTTGGCCAACCAGCAGGACCTTGAAGACAGCACTATTGACAGACGGGTGACATCCACAGACAGATGAGTAGCCTTCCACTGTTCGCACTTGCAAGGTAGAAAGAGATCTGCTGACTTGATCAATAAATTAATCCTGCCAGGTAGGGGGAAACGGGGACATGGTTTGGAAAAATCCTCATCCTGGTTGGAGCAGAGATATGCACAACTCCTTACCCTGCGAGGAAAAGTGGAGGAAGGACCTGAGGAGTGAATGGTCTGAGATGTATGAACCAGGGCAAGACATGTGGGTGGACAACGTCCGAGCCAAGAAAGAATACCAGCATCCTCAACCCTGCTGCTGCTAACTTGCCATAACGCCAGGGCTGATGCTTGTCGGGAGTAAATTGAGTCCCGACTGGTGCCATGGCTTTGATTGGCGCCGTTCCGGATGGAACCCGAACCTTGGCCCGAGTCTAAAAGCCAAAATGGGGGAGTAGATCCAGTTATGACGGGGGAGGGCCCCTTTTCGGAAATGAAGGAAGGAAGAGGAAAGCAGCATTATAGAATGCAAGACAAGGAAAAGCACAACCGGAGGATCACCGAGAGAGAGCAAATGGTTGGCAGTGATCAGGCGCGGCATTAATGAAGCTGAAACCCATGCGATGCCAAGCATCCCGGTCAATCCGCCGGCGTTGAATTCATCTCCACCCACCGTTTCAACGCCCCTCAAGATGAAACCTCTGCGCTGCTGCCAGCGCTTGAGCCAGTCCAGTCAGTCTCCAGTTCCCGGTGGAGTGTCTCCCCTGTCATTATTATCTTCAGGGACTTTTTGGGAGGGCCCTCTCTACGATGCTAGAACCGTTTCACGATCGATCATGATGGAGAGCTTTGTTCAGGTCCAGAACGCCCCGGCCGACTTCAACGGCCTATATAGAACGTCCCTCTCGTCGCCCTCATCTCTTCCTCTCTTCTTTTCCTTCAGCACGCAGGCTTGTCTAAGTTCTTTCACTTCTCTCTTTCCCACATTCTCTTTTCCCCGGTCTGTGACCGTCACATTCTTTCCACAAAACTCCATTCCTTGAAGAATCAAACCATCTGGTATACCGGTATACCAGACCTTACACTATCTTTATTTTTTTTCTCTCCTACAAAACCAAACCTTCCCACCAAAATGAAGCAGGCTGGTTCCATCCTCGCCCTCGCCGGGCTCGTCTCCCTTGCCCAGGGTCACGGTTTCGTCACCTCCCCTCAGGCCCGTATGCCCGGTAGCGCCATGGAAAAGGCCTGTGGCCAGCAAGTGTACAACAACCAAGAGGCCGACAACTACGGCAACGTGCAGGGTGAGCTTCAGATCGCCTCGGGCCAGAGCGACTACGACGCCGACGCCTGTGACATCTGGCTCTGCAAGGGTTACAAGTACGCCGACAACAAGGACAACGTCTACTCGTACAAGGCCGGTGAGACCGTCGATTTCACCGTCGACATTCGCGCTCCTCACACCGGTACTGCCAACGTCTCCGTCGTTGACACTGCCTCCAACACCGTCATCGGCTCCCCTCTGATCTACTGGAGCGTTTACGCCTCCACCGCTACCGGTGTCACTGCCAACGAGACTAGCTTCAGCGTCACCATCCCCGATGACCTCGGCGATAAGTGTACCGAGGGCGGTGCCTGTGTTCTTCAGTGGTGGTGGAACGCTGCTTCCATTGACCAGACTTATGAGTCTTGCATTGACTTTACTGTTGGTGGCTCTGGCTCTTCTTCTTCCTCTTCCTCTTCTTCGTCTTCTTCTTCTTCCGCCGCTGCCAGCCAGCAAACTACCACCACTGCTGCCGCCGCCGCTGTCACTACCCCCAGCACTGCCAACAACGTCGCTCCCGCTTCCTCTAGCGTCCCTACTACCCTCGCTACTAGCGTGAAGCAGAGCGCTACCGTCGCCCCCGTTGCTGCTTCTAGCGCTGCTGCTGCTGCTTCTTCCTCCTCGGGTGTCTCCATCCCCACTGATGGTACTGCTGAGGAGCAGCTCACTTGGGTTGCTAGCCTGCTTAAGGCTCTCCTTAAGTACGCTAACTAAGACGGTGCGGTGTGTATAGTTACTAGTTGCTGTGTTAGATAGAGTGGTGGTGTGAATAGATGTGCCTGTATATTGATCTTGTGTTTCGTAGTAAATGTAGTAGAGATGTAGATTTCGCATAGAGTTTCCAAATTTGAAGGGTGCTTGTTTGGCTACTGATTATTCTATAACCGGCAGAGCACAGCAGTTGTACTGTAGTAAGAAATACCCAATAAGTGTTTTTGATACTCAAGGGAGACTAGGCGTAGGTTTGTTTTATATTTATATGGATTGTCATGTTCTTAGTTAGATAGTAGTAGTAGGGTTGTCTTGTAAGTTGGATGATGGCGATGGGTATGTTCTTTACCGCATATGGATAGTACAATGAAATGTAGTACTTAGTAGTGCGGGAGGAGCGATCGAAAAACAGGGTAGTAATGTAACTTACATCTAGAGCCTTTTTTCTTTTTAAAGCATAGCATGCAAATGACATGCTAGGGTAAATTGATTATCAATAGACAATCCACCTATTAAGGTGTCAAGCGGATAGTGGAAGTGCTACTAGGCACAGCCAGTCCCGAATAGCCATATTGGCAACACTATAGCAGTAAGCACTACGAAGTGATACCCCACTAATAAGCTTTATCTTACTACAATGTCTTACTAGATCAACTGTGTACTGACATACTTTGTTTGTGATAACAAGATCATGACAATAGGCAACCAATAAGTACTCTGTACGAAAGTACCAAACAAGCACATCTGGCAAATCAAATTCACTTCGCGGTAGAGGTATCACAAAAGGTATCGATACATCAAAAGTCAAACAATAATAATCGTCATCAAATTACCACCTTCCAATCCATACAATCTTAATAATGTTGCTGTACCGGTCGCTGCTGCTGTCCCTCGGCCCACCAATCAGGAGATGACCCCTCCGGGCGAGCCTGCTGCTGATCACCATATACCGCAGGAGCCACAGGAGCAGCACCAGTAGCAGCAGGTGCGCTAGTATCAGCAAACGGGTTCTGCACCTGGTAATCCTCCGAGCGGTACTCGAACCGGCCTGCGCCGTTGCTATACGTGCGCGGAAGGACCGGAGCAGTCGAGGAAGAGCCCGAGGATAGCGGGCTCTGCGTTTGGTTCCGAGGCGGAACCGGCGGTGCAGAAGATCCTGCTGCTGCCGGGGCTGGGGGTTGCACGGCGCCAGAGGACGAGGCCTGACTAGATGATGCAGGGGACTGGCTGCCGGATTGTCCCTGGGCGCGACGCGCCTGGAGCAAGGCGTGCTGGTGCTTGGACAGAGCGACGGATAGTTCGTCGTTGGATTCGATCAACGTCACGAGGGTATCCTCGTCTGGGGCGGGATTTGTAGCATGGATGTAGTTCTGGATAAAACGGGAGGCGGTGCGACACCGGTCGGAGAATTCTTTGATGAGCTCGTTCTCAAGCATTTCGGCCGGAGGCGTGGATTGGACGAATTGGATGAGGAGCTTCGCGGATGTCTTGGCCTCGGAGATGCGTGCAGAGAGCTCTTCGGGCTGTGGTAGTCCGCCATGCTGGTTCTGGTTGGGGGTGTTGAAGTAGTTCGGGGTTTGTCGGTATGGCTGAACCAGGGGTTGTGTCAAGCCGGGCTGTAGGGAATCATAAGATTAGCTTTGAGATGCTTGGAACAAGTAGAGGGATGTCTGTCACATACATTACCCGTATTCTTAGGTGCATACTTTTCCTTTTCCTTGCTCCACATCCCCAGGAGCAGTGCGAGATCTTCGTCCCATGCCCGCTGCATTTCTAACGAATCCAACGTGTCCCGCAAAAAGCTGTGTACATTCATATCCCGCCCGTTGCGGAAGAGATCCTTCACAGTCGCCACGAACTTGGCGTCGATATTCCGCGAAAAGGTATGTCCTGGATTGTCGATGAGGATGCGCATGAGCATGATCGCATTGTACTGCACATTGCTCCGGGTTTTGGCGGGATTGGACAACAGCTTGGAGATGCGAAGGGCGGCTTCGCGGGCGGCGTTGGGGCTGGATTCGGCACTCTCAACGATGGCAGGAAGGTGAACGAACTCGTCTCCATTCTGGATATGTCCTTGTAAGTACGGTGGCTATTTAAGCAGGCGGGGAATGGGAATGAGGCGATTATGGAAGGGGGAGGGGGTCCGCAGGGTGGGACATACGGCGCTGTTGGGGCCCGATTCGCAGAACGCGGTCTAAAACCGTAGATGTGGTTAGTTGGACGAGCTCAAACGATGATTCCGGATCAATACGAACCACTTCTCTGAGTATGATACCTTCCGGAGAGTCCTCGGGGTACGAAGGGGAGTCGCGCGCGGGACCTGTTCTGAGGTGAGCATTGTCAACCGTCGCATGCCGATCAGCAACGGGTGGGAGAGTAATACTCACTGGATCGCCTGCTGAAGGAATTGAAGATGCGCTTCATGATGACTTGTCGCAAGCTACCACAGCTGGGTAGAGATAGACAATAGGAAATGGGGTTGGCGAAAAATTTAAGTAGTAAGAAAGGGGGCCGTCAAGCAAACGAGACTAAAAAAGACGTCGCAGCCTCGCAGGGCCGGTTTAAGCGCCGCGGGGAGCAAAAAGCAGCGGAGGGTCCTTTAAACCAAACTTAGATTTTAGTCAAGATTAGAGTGAGTCAATCTATCCATCCATCCATCCCATCACTCCCGAAACCTCTTCTGTTTTGTTTGATGTTCTGAAGCAGTCGATCCGGTGGCAATGCGCTTTGTCGGCGACACGCAAGCGCTCTTGTTTGCGTTTCTTGGGACGATCCAGAACTGACGTAGAGAAGTCAAGAGAATAAGATCCACGTCTGCCTATGAATCTTGATGCCTGCTTGACTACCAAGACTCTGCAATGCGTACACCATCCCGCACTGTCAGCGCAACCAACCGCATACAACTACGTATGCAGGTTGGCTCCCCCCATTGTCTGTTAAGCATAGTTTTCCAGTCGTCATGGGGATGCGAATGCCTCATCGGGAGAAAAGGCCGCATTGGACGAAGAATCCCCATCGACACGGGAAAAGCTTTGGCTGATGGTCTGTTCGCAAGGGCCGATTGGAGCCTGTGACGGGTTGATGGTCACACACACAGCCACGCTTGGCTGAGCCAGAATTCCCTTCCCTCTGACCTGCCCATATGCAACCTGCTGACGGAGGGGGGAAGATGGAGTTCTGGAGTCGGGGGATGCCTGTCCACACACGCTGCAGCCTGCAGATCTGAGGGTCTAGATAGCAGCTGTGGCGCAGTTGACTGTTACAAATGCACAGTACTCTTGTCGGAGACCAGAACAGACAGACCTATGACGGACTGGCAAAGTAGCCAATTTCTACTAGTACTACGGAATCCTTATCATCCTACGCTTGTAGATCGATCCTGTCCGACTGGTAGGGCTGATGATGAACTTCCATCATCCTTCCTTCGTCTTATGCTTTACAACTTCATGAAAGAAAAATGAATTCCGTATCCCATCATGAATTAAACGCTCGCAAAAAGTGTCCTGAAGCAGGAGAATGTCCGAAACCTGCCGTACCGATGTACGCCATCCATGTAGTAGTATCAACTATGATGAAGGAATAATTCTCCCTGGACTCCTTTCAGCCGCCTTAGCTCATGGCCAGGGACGGACTGCAAAGGAAAAACTATCCAGTCGAACCGATTCTCCGGGGGGTGAAACGAGATCAATGTCTAAAGAAAGATGTTTGTCTCTGCATAAAGCAGAAGACAAACCATCATCATCACCATCATTTTTTTCGCCGGGTGGTTTCGAATTTTTTCCATTTGTCAAAAAAGTAATAATTTCTTTTGTATTCCTTCCGTGACCAGGTATTGGATCCGTACAACAGCAAACTCCGGCATTCCCATTCAGTTTCTGACCACTTCACACTTTCCCCGACACCCACACACCGCTTATGCCTCAATGAGAGCACGGCGGAGCTGAGCACCACGCTGGCGGGAGCTGAGGCGGACCTCCTTGTTTTCGGCGGCCTTGGCGACGGTCTCCTCAGCCTCGGTGAGGATGAGCTCGATGTGGCAGGGGTTGGTCATGTAGGGGTTGATCTAATCCATATGTCAGTTTTGCGGGGATGCGTGACATAAGAGATACATCTCGGATTCCGGTTTCAACATACACGACCGTGAGCACGGTAGGTACGGCGGCGACCCTTGGGAGCCTGGTTGACCTGGATGTGCTTGACAACAAGGTTGCCGGTGTCGAGACCCTTGGTGTCGGCGTTGGCCTCAGCGTTCTTGAGGAGGTCGAGAAGGAACTCGGCGGACTTGACGGGCCAGCGAGCCTTGCTGACACCCCACTGCTTGCCTAAATAGAAGAAAGACGGTCAGCGTCTTCGTTTACCAAAACGCTTGGTTTTTGCCAGGTCCTCCAAAATCATATCCTCCAGTCCTTCCATCCCTTAAAATCCTGCCCATGTCGGTTCATTTGTCGATCCGTAATTTCCATTCCCATCTCTTTCCGAAAACTCTGTAGAAAAACACATCCACTCACCCTGAGCGCAGCGACCGGTGCTGCCAGCGTACCGACGCATGGGGACGGCCTCAGCCTTCTCGGTGACGTTGGTGAGGAAGGTAAGGGCACGCTGCAGCTTCATGCCGTTGATGGCCTGAGCGGTCTCACGGGTGTTCTTGAAGCTGACACGGAGGTAAGAGCCCCGAGCGCGGGCGCTCTTAGCGGCCGGAATGTCCTGAGCAGCGTAACGGACCTGATGGCGACAAGAAAAATCCAACAATCAGCAAGACCATTCATTCAATCCCTCTTATATCATTTCTTCGTTTCCTCTTTCCCAAGCACATAATTCCATATAAAATATGCATATCGGTGGACGGATGTTCATCATAGCAGGGGGAGAGAGAGTCGAAAATTGTTCGGTATGAAGTTTTCCTTCATCGGCCAAAACGCAGGATCGAAGATGATAGATAGGGATTCCGGTACAACGAGAGGTTGGGCAGCGGTTCTTTCTTTTCACGATATCTTTTTTCCCTTGCTTTTTTGACATGTCCGTTTTCCACCGATAGCAGCAAACGCGAATATAGCACTCACCATCTTGATGTGGTTGCCGAGCGGGTGGTCCTCGATGTCGGGTGAGAAGTTTTGTCGTTTTCCTGTCGTCGGCCGCTGGAACTTGAGATCGCGAGGCTCGCTCGTTGTGGTGCGCTTTTTCGCTCTTGGCGCCCGCCTAGGGTATCGGAGCCCTAACACTAAGCGGCTTGGGGCAGGTGCCCACCTCACCGCCCGGCAGTATTGCCAATTAGCTTTCGGTCCGTAGGAACTTCATGGTCTGCTTCGATGTCAATTTCGTCGATCGATGGCTTTATAAGTATGTACATTGCTTATTCTTAGTAACTAAATGTCATATTTGTTAGATGTAATGCTGTCATATTCCTTTTCTCGAATGAGTGAGGTGCTGGTCGTTTTGTTCATCGTGTTGTCCCTGATCGAATCATGTTCTAGTTCAGACAGACGCTAAACCTATTTGGGATACATAGTCAGCTCATTCACCCTGCAGTAATGCCCTTTCACCAACTGGTCAATTATTTCGGCAACTGATAACTACATCAAAACTGATATCTGTGCAAGCATGCAGATGACGTCCGTCTTCGCCATTGGCTATAAATTCAATGTATATATCATGAGGCCACAAGCCAGTGTCGATCACAACGAAAGACTGTTTCGTATCCCTTTCCAGCCGTGGAGAGACCGGCGTATCCTTCCAGTTCACTGTCGGCTATCGACGCTCGGCCTCAAATCCCGATGCGGAGAATGCCCGCCCTTCCCCACGTTTGACAGGCTGAATGCTGATATGACCGGTATGACTGAAAGTCTTTGCAGCAACCCCATGATCGGCTTCACTGAGATATTTGGCATGATATGAGACCAAGACGTTTACCAAACGCTCGCTCTTTTTAGCACCAGGGTGTTCGACATAAGGCAATATATGCATCAAACTGTGGCATCCCCAAGCTTGAGGAGCAGGGTTGTTATATAGTAGACAAATAGAGTTTAGATGCACACTAAATAGCGGTGCTGCATGCAACTGCATCTGCTAGCCTTCCCCTGCACCATCTAATACTCCTCTTAGCAGCTGGCTCCAAAAGCTGGTCGTCGCCCAGAAATCGTGGATACAACCCTCAGGGATTGACAACCACTCAATCTCCCGAGTTCTGTCAGCGAAAAAGCCTATTTGAAACTGTCGAGGCTTTCGTCTAAAATCAATAAGCGTAAGGCACCATTCTCCTTGCAGCGCGCGCTTGATGAGGTAAGTATGAGTGTCACCATATGCTGCCCACCGGCCGACCCTTGTCGCTGCCATGATCGAGGTATATGCGACAATTGATGTTTACTTCCTCCGTCATAGTAGCATGTTTAGGCTACAAATAATGTAGCACGCACATGCAACTTACGTGGCCGTGTGCATCGAACAAAGGTTATGCAGCAATGACATCGGCATGAGCAGTGATCAGTCAGGTAGCTAACTTAATCGGCCTGTAGGCGTTCGTGTAACCATTAGCTAGATCAACAGAAGCGCAATCGGGCCACCGACATACCAAACAAGCAGGCCACCTTTTCTAGCCGTGCTTCGATGCGAGCGATATGAATAGTATCTAACCTCACGTCGGTACCATCCCGGCGCCCCCCCACAGCCCCGCACCGCCGTGGGGTCTTCAACCAGAGCCGCCAGAAAAACATGAATCTCTTCAATGGGCGGGGGTAAGAGTAGTTTTGATTGCGCTCCCTCTTGCGAGACATAGAAATCAGAAGAGAAGGCTACTGCTCATGTCACCCGACCATGGAACCTGCCATGCCTGGGATCGCTCTTGTCCCGCTTGGAAGATGTCCGGGTTCTGGAAGGTATCCAATGCAAGTGTGTTGGCTCCCGATATTTGATCACCAGAGACATAATCCCCAACGGCTTCAAGATCCAGCCATGAAAAGTCATTCGCAGGGCTGAAGTGCACGTAGCTACTATGATCGGACAAATGGTGCGATAATGCGCTGTTACCCTGCATCAGGACATCGCCGCTTTGATGTGTTCCGGCTGGTGAAGTTGGTGCCATCGACTTCTGTTTCCAAAGGAGTTCAAGGAGTCGAGAATAACGCGATCCTATGTCATCAGACCCAGCGCTTGCTCTCTTCAGTACTTCGGTGGTCCGCGTCACGAGATCCCGCACTTTCAGCTCCTCCAAGTGAGACATTACTCCGAATGAGCGTGCCTTGAATGCACTGTTAGTTACTCATATGTACATTCGTATCTCAAAGGATATTACCTTGTACAGAAATACGGCTGCGTAGATTCCGTATAAATAATACCTCAACGGCATAAAATGAAGATGCTTTTCTGGGTGAACCACATCAACAAGGATGGTCAGGTATGTTTTTGCGGCATCGACCGATTCATAAATAAACCGAGCATCCTGCATCGAGGCTACATTGTTAAACGTTGCTCGCAGATGATCTCTTTGAGCCTTGTCATCGTTCCTGATCTTGGACACAAGTGACTGGGATATTGCCGCCTGGAATGCAAAAGCGTTTGTGTATAGCCTCAGGTATTCGTAGGACAGCTGTAACGTGGCTTTCATTGGCGGTGAACCTACGAAATGTCAGTCAATCAGGCCAAACTTCGTCGGAGCTGAAACTTACAGGACAGAGAACCCCAGATAGACTTCCATCGCAAGATTGCAAGGCGAAAATCATCCACGTACTTGACATAGTCGCCCATAAGCATCATTTGATTGCTCGTACGCATGCCAGAATAGAGCACATCGTGAACATTTCCGTAAAGTTGCGTCAGATCCAGGGTAGCCTGAAATATCTTCGCATAATCCTCATCACCGTCTCTAGCGGGTTGCAACGATGGAAAGTCTTGGCTGACAAGGCCAGTCATCGGACCCGGCCCGCGAGACCAGAACGCACGTCCAATACGAACAGATATCAATCGGTCCGATACGTAGCAGCTCGTCCATGCTAGCCGCCTACGAGCTTCTGTCTCCGCGTCTCCAGAAGAATCGCCTCTGAATGACGTCCTGTCTAGGCCAAGAAACCAACCAGATCGCAAGGCGAGCCCTACATGCATCCAGGCAGCTCGATCTTCCTCTCCACGGCCTACACGTTCAATGCGCGGTCGGAGGCCTTGGGGTTCCCATTCCGCCAAAATAAGAAGAGCCTCCACAGCTTCAACATCGCAATCGGCTCCAGCAGCAATTCCAGATATCAGCTCATGCATGTACTTAGAACAGTACTCGTGGATCTCCGGCCGTTCGGCTAGATCCTTCGAAGCAATTGTGAGAACGGCAGTAAGCAGATGCTTCTCATTATTAGCAAATGCATCTAGCGCGCTGCGATCAAAGTACTTTCGTGGCACCAAAGGAAGGTACGGATGGAAGTTTTCAGCGTAGCGAACCACTAACTGCCATACCGTTCCCGGATCTAGTGAGCGTGATTGTACTAGCCTGTACGTCTTGATGCCGCTATTTGACTGAAACCCAGTAACAGAACTGTCTTGAAGTGCCGTGTATGATGAGAATGCACTGGGTCCTGTACGTAGAGGTTCGACGCCCGTTTCGGCGCTCGGGTCTTCTGTACCTCTCTTCGCAATGCCCGTCAGACACTGCCAGGCATCTGAAGGATTGCGGGGAACATCGCCGATAGAAGCTTCGTCTTCATCATCATCAACGGAGATTGAAGTCGCGGTCGGCGGATCAGGGGGTAGGAAGACAACGGGACCAGGGTAAGAACTAGACGTCGTTTGACGAGTCTCTGAATTGGAAGGGCTTGGTGCCTCAATGACGGAATCCCTTCGCACAGAAGAATTGCTGTCTGGTGTGAAATTTTTGATTTTATTCTTGCGAATCCGCCGTCCCCCTCGATTGGAACTGCCTAGGACACATTCACGGTTATCCCTGATACACCGCTGACATGGTGGGACTCCCGGGCTGCCACTGCTATCCCTGTGTTACATTGTAATTAGCCCCCCAAGATCACCGACAGGCAGGATAAAGTGAACCAAAATAACGTGGGAAGAAAAAAAAGAGGAATAAACGTCTGTCACAGTCATGACTTACAGGTCGCATTTCGACTTGCGCTGTCTACAATGTAGACATGCTCTTGACACGCGTTTCATTAAATGATCTGAACGGGCCTTGGCTCTTGACGTTGGAGTCCCTTCGACTGGCGGAGATTGATCTTCTTGCTCCATCGCTGCATACAGCACATTAACCTCTTCAGCTTACAGCGTCAAGTGATAGAATTCCAATGCGACATCTCATCCCAGCAGTGCTGACAGGTTGGCTTGGGAACGAACGAAACGCGTCAGAAATTCCCTCCTGCGATTTTTGCTTGCAAAGATGGAAAGTGTAAGAGACGGATAGACGGGAATGCTTTCCTCTTGATGCTAGGAAACAAGGTTGAATCCTCTGCAGAGTAGGGTAAGAGAGATCTCGGGGTGTTGCTCGACTCCGAACAGTTCCTATATGATTGTTGGGGTAACTTGAGCTCCGGACGGGCGCTCGTGGCTTCCCCACACAAGTTGGCTTTTAAGGCACCAGCAACTCTGTACAAATTGCGCACTAAGTGATAATCCGCCTCGTAACCCCAAATCATCGACTCAGCAGTCGAGAAGGGCCAGGCTGCGGGGGGAAGGATTTGTAAACGCTGCAGACTTGTGAGCACTGGGTTTTTTTCTGACCCACGGCCAAGGAATAATCTGGTATTACTCATCCCATACATACGGGTATTCAACGAGTCGGCAATCCAAGGCTTTCACTATGCAAGACCGGGCAGCTGTTGATCTCGACGAGGAGTTTAAGCTTAATTCAATCTTTAGAGCTAGTTCGTGCGCTGCTTTTGAATTTAATCAGAAGTACTGACTGCATGATACTGAAATCATAGCAGCCTAGGTTCTCGTTGAAAAGCTGATGTGGTGCCTCTGGTGGCAAGCACATGGATATATACAAAGCCTGCAGCAGGCCATATGAGGAATCCATCTAATGTCTGTCTAACGCATCTGTGAGAATCACTAAACCTCAGATCATTAGCCCTAGGGATACTTCAACTAGTATCTAGCTTATCAGATCCTTGAGAGCTATCAGTGAGATAGATTAATTTGCTTTACTGATCCGCTTATTGGATGGTGAAATGCAAGGCAATGATGCTTGTACAAACAATCGTCTGAAATGGCCACGCAGCTCCCACACACCAATTACGGAGATGTTCAATGCATGACCTCATACTCTGAGCACTTTCCTGAGATCATGCATTAAGATAGCTAATTTTCCGGATTATTCCGTGCCTTTCGCCAAAGAAACCAGCATTTCCAAAGCACCCCAACTCCATGAGATGTCATTTGTACGAGTTACCATACAAGACGCAAATCGGAGCATCCCCGAACAAAGTTCAATAGCCGAATGCGGGGCGTCGGCGTTTGAAGCGCTGTGTCGGCAATGTAATTACCCCAAAAGGGAATTAGTCGCTGCTGCCCCGCGCGCGGAGGAAGAGGGACAGCTATTTATTATTAGCAGGACAGTAAGGATGACTGGTCGCCATCGATTATTGATTTGGTGGCAAGAGAATTTGGAAGACTGTTCCCCCCTCGCTGAGCTGCACGGCAAGGTACACCTCTAACGATAATACTTTGAGAAACGAAAGGACGCTTGACAGCAGATTACTATTCTTAGTAACCATCTAAGCGCGAAACAATCACAATGTCGGCCGCAGTTGCGTCGCTATTCTCCCTCAGCGGCAAGACCGCTATCGTGACAGGAGGAACTAGGGGCATTGGGCAAGCAATGGCTTTTGCCCTTGCCGAAGCTGGTGCCGATATCATCTTGATTCAGGTGCGCACAGCCGCGACCTCCCCATTGGCGCTACGGAAATGACAGGGGAGCCATGCCGAAACGCCGTGTGGAACTAACGCTCTACGAACAGAGAGACGAGTCGAACACTTCGACTCGCGATGAGATCGTCAATCGCATTGGCAGGAAAGCTTGGATCCACGTGGCAGAGTTGTCGAATCGGGAATCAATCAAGGGTGTCATTCCAGCTCTGACCAGTCAAGGCCTCAAGCCTGAGATCCTACTCAACTGCGCCGGAATTCAACGGAGACACCCCAGTGAAAAGTTCCCGGATGAAGATTGGGATGAGGTATGTGTCAAAGAGTCTCCTTTTTCAGCCACCTATCTACCTCTGTCTATTTTTGGACCTCCCTTCTCCTGAAGTGGAGCTGAAGTCTAGATACTGACTATTGAATTATGTAGGTTATCCAAGTCAATTTGACGTCCGTCTTTACGTTATGTCGGGAGTTCGGTGCATACTTGTTGGCGCGAGATGAGTCGGAGTTCCCAACTGGTCGTCGTGGAGCCATCATCAACGTCGCATCGCTCCTCACCTTCCAGGGAGGTATCACAGTACCTGCATACGCAGCGTCAAAGGGAGGTGTCGCGCAATTAACGAAAGCCCTCTCCAACGAATGGGTGGCTAAGGGTATCAACGTCAATGCAATCGCTCCCGGATACATTGCCACGGATATGAACACTGCCCTGATCAATGATTCCAACCGCAATGCTGGTATCATGGCTAGAATCCCGGCGGGGAGATGGGGCAAGCCAGAAGACTTCAAGGGCGTGATAGTGTTTTTGGCAAGTCAAGCGAGTAGCTATGTCTCAGGTGAAATAATCACCGTTGATGGCGGTTGGATGGGACGGTAAAAAGTTCTGTGGCGGCAATTTTTTTTTCATGTTTTCTTTTCGTCCATATTTCCCCTGACTATTTTTGTCTGCATTTTTGCCTTTGCTGTGCTAGGTGATAGATGGAATATACACCAATGATGTAAAACACCTGCTTTCACACCACGCGATACTCAGCGTTTTCTAATCAATATCTGAAGGATGCTATTATCAGGTCATTCTTGCCTTAGTCTGTCATACCAGATTAGCGGCTGCTCAGGATATATTAGGTGAAACTCGTTCGTCGCGATAGACTGGTTATCTCTGCTAGCATTCTATGCTAGGCGCCAAGGGAGCACAAAGGAATTATTTAATTGAAACTCCGGATGAAATGACCGATTCAAGGGGAACCGCTGGCACCTGGAAAGATTATAGATTGGAAATATTCTCATCCGTTACCAAGGGACCCCACCAAGATAATAGCAAGTGAGGAAAACTCTTCCGAAAATAATGAAGCAGGTCCGCAAGGGACCCAGGATCCAGAAGGGTGGGCAGGCAATGGGAGAAAAGGTAGAGTAATAGACTGACACCAAATTAGATTAAACAGGGACAGACTAGGGACCAGACCCGTGACCGCCATGTGACTTTTTTCTAGGCAATTAATCTCCTTATCGCCAAACCCACCTTCTTTTGTCTTTCTCCAGTCCACCTCCCACTTGAGGTTCAAGGATAGCCTTGTTTCACCATGGGTTCAAGCAAAGATGGCAGGAACACCCAGGCTACCGTTTGCTCCTTCTCTGCAGGTTCATGATAGCTAACCCTTCAGCAGAGCAGTGTTGTCGGTGGATTTCCAGTGGGCCGTTGCTGCTGCTTAGCATGCAAATCACGGCCAATACGGGTCGGTCGTTTCAGTCCGAATTGCAGAACCTGAAACGTGAGAAACCAGACCGAAAGCCAATACATCATGCTCACCAGCGGCTATCTGCTGAACTTGGTACAATTGGCTGGTTATGGGAAGCATCATAAGGTGGGATTGAAAGGTGGTAAGAGGGCGCGGATTGGAAACAGGGCCTGCGTTGACGCCCTCGGTCGGCCATGTTCCTGCAAGCGGCCGTTTCCGCGGTTGGTCGATAGGAGCCAAGAGCGCTAAACACCGGCCAAGCCCAAAGGGCTGGCTGTCTCTATCAGAAACAACGATGCATTTCCTTCAGGGCGCTTTGCTCCGTAGAGACCACTCGATAGGTTCGGAACCAAGCGCAGAGGCCAGTCTTGGCGGCGCTCATGGCAACACCCCTTCAGGACCACGCCATTATTGCTTTTTTAGCAGGTTTTGTGGACTGGGTCATTGGTCCCTTGGGCCTCCAGCATGATCTCAGGTATGATCCGCGCTGGACTTTCCTTTTCGCTTAAAGTTTCTTGCTGCGCCGTGGATCTGCTTCGGGTGACAGGGGATCTTTCTTCAACTTTACACTCTAAGTTGTGCTTCGTTCCTTATTTCGTTCTTTCTATTTCCACCAACACATTCACTTCTCTGAGCCAGCTGGCTGGTGGCCGTTCTTTCATTGTGTGGCCAGTCCATTCAGCGAGTCAGTCTATTGTTTCAAGACATTGCCATTCGTGTTCTTGAGCGTAGACCGTCTTCGCTCTTTGTTCGGATACCGTCGATCATTGGTTACATCTCGCTACATCTAAACGTCATTCATCGTGGGGGTGGGCAATTTACTTTCTTTACTACAACACTAGACGTCAGGGTTTTTTTACAGTACCTTATCTTTGGGAACCTTTAGTTTCCCGGTTTGAATTATCTGATTCTTTCTACGACGCTGTGCGTCCCCTGTCCTCTTGCTGGAATTTTTCTTCTTATATCATGCATGTAGGGAAGTGGAGGTAAGTGATGATCGAAGGCTGGCTCAGCACTTATGACGCTGGTAATGACTCAATGTTGGAGGACTTGCAAGATTCAACTCGTCAGATTCGCTACCTCGTACCGTGTTTCCAACATTCTTCGGCTCCTTTAGCTGCAATTGCTCGTGACAACGCCTTGGTCATTTGCGCATACCGTCTCACCAACATCATCACCTCTCCCGCCTGATCAGGACGGCTTCAACAAGCACTTATTTGAAGGGGAGACATCTCGAGCTTTTTGTATATCAAAACCACACACAAGAGCCGTCTAACTTGATCGTGCTCCTCTTGCTGTGGGGGTTTGCCGTCTGAGATTCCTTGGGCATAACGCGCCTCTCCCCACATTCTTGGTGTTCCCTAGCCATTCAGTATATGCGTCATACTGAACCGTAACCGAATTATAATTGGAAATCGTGGCTTTCAAGAATTTGCTGCCCTTATCGACCCCCGCTCAGCTTTGTTGACATCTGTCCGATCTGTCCGCTCTGTCTCTCCATCTTGAGCGACTGCGTGCTACGCTGGGCCGTAGATCTCTCTATCAATGGATGAATCCCACCATCGACTCATCCCGCGAGGCTATGGGATTAATGCCACCTACGTCTATGAATACTCGCGTGGTCTGAACGGTGTTGATGTCCCTCGGGATGTTCTGTTTTCACGGATCATCTTCTCGTCCTTGATATTCGTCGCCCTGGTTGTCTTTTGCGGCCGTGTCGGACAAATCAGCCATGCCTATCTTCGTCAAATTACCTCTCTAACGGCAAGCAGGAGGGAGCAGACCTTTTGGAGCGTTGAAGTATCTTCGCTTTGGGCAAACGTCAAGAAGCATTTGTTGTATGCGCCCCTGGGCAGGAAGAGGCACAACCGAGAAATCCAACTTTCATCCGCCATCAACGTCGGCACACTGCCTTCTAGATTCCAGGTGATTCTAGTCGTGCTATATCTGGCGAGTCAGGTTGCTTATTGTACTCTGCTTGATTACAATGCGAACGTCAAGGCAGCCCTTGTGGCTGAGCTTCGTGGACGCTCAGGTACCTTGGCTGTGTTGAACATGGTGCCCCTTTTCATCCTCGCCGGTCGCAACAATCCGCTTATTCCCTTGTTGCATGTGAGTTTCGACACCTACAATCTCCTTCATCGTTGGTTGGGCCGAATAGTAGTGCTTGAAAGCATTGTGCACACGTGCGCATGGGCAGTAAATGCTTGCGACGAGGTCAGCTTCTCTGACATGCTCGAGCGTTTACGCACTACACCTTTCTTCACCTGGGGCCTACTGGGAACTTGCTCCATGATCACACTGGGTCTTCACTCGCCATCCCCGATCCGGCATGCTTTCTATGAGACCTTCTTGCATCTGCACCAGCTCGCTGCTTTCCTAGCCTACCTTGGTGTGTTGATGCACTTGGATCTCGACAATCTCCCGCAAAAGCCTTGGATAATAGCGCTGGGTCTTCTCTGGCTATTGGAAAGGACAGCCCGCCTCTGTCGACTGCTGTACTTGAATATATCTCCCCGAAGAGGGTCCACACGGCTTGTCGTGGAAGCCCTCCCAGGTGAAGCCTGTAGAGTGACTTTTCACTTGCCCAAGCGTGTGCGCATCAGCCCCGGAAGCCATGTATACGCCTACATCCCAAGTGTCTCCTTTTGGATGTCGCATCCATTTTCTGTCGCTTGGGTAGACCCAAGCAGCTCCGTGACCGTTCCTGCTACGACAGAAAAAGATCTTATCGACCCTTCGCTTCTCGAAAAGCAGCCACTTGCTAGTTTGGATGAGTATATGCGGGACTCCCAGGAGCCCACGTCCGTTTCCCTCATCGTTGGTGCTCGCCAAGGCATGACACGGAAGTTGTACAACAAAGCTCTGGCCTCACCTGGACAAACACTCTACACCTCGGGGCTTATTGAAGGACCCTATGCGTCCCATGCGTGCAACATGGGCAGCTATGGTACAGCTATACTCTTCTCAGCCGGTGCAGGCATTACCCATCATATGCTATACGTCCGCGACTTGCTCATACGCTCTTCAGAGGGTCGCGTGGCTACCCAGAAGATCTACCTCGTATGGTCTGTACGCAGTACGGAACATCTAGCCTGGGTACGGGAGTGGATGGACCAGATCCTCCGACTTCCATCAAGGCGCGAGATTCTTACTATCAAACTTTTCGTGTCCAAACCAAAAAGCAGTCGCGAAATCGTATCACCCAGTGCGACCGTCCAAATGTTCCCAGGCCGGTGTCGCCCCGACGTCGTTCTCAACGAAGCCATTCCCCAACGTGTGGGTGCCACCATTGTCTCTGTCTGCGGGCCCGGTGCATTCGCAGACGAGGTGCGTGCTGCTGCACGTAACAACATTGGAATGGGCGCCGTCGTCGATTTCGCCGAAGAAGCCTTTACATGGTAGTCCACCATACAAAATCACCACCTTTGCCTTGGGATATATTCATTCCTTTTATTTTACTAACCTTCGATTCTTGTTCCAAAATTTCTCTTCTCGACTTTCGTTCAAAAATTTACTTCAGATGTATATTTAGTTTCCTCTCTATTAGTCCCACTTCCCATGGCAATTGTTCTCTGTTGGTATTTTCACACGATGGTACGAATTGCTTCAGAGCCTAGCTAGCTATGTTTGGATTTTTCAGGCAATACACCTTCAGCGGCATATCTTTTCAAGGTGTTAATATCCTCGCGACTGCATATGAGCCCCCTACCCATCACACACATATCTGTCACGCACTTTGGCCACATGCAATGTAACAACCCCCTCAGAAAGATTGTCTAGCACATGCACAACTATATATCATTATACAATACCATTCTATCTAAAGTCTACCTATCTACGGACTCTTACTCTTCTAGAATTCATTTATTTATTCTATCTTATTTTTTTTTTTTTCACCTTTCAAAATTCGGATACTTTTTCGGGTATCATATAGTCAGTCTCTTAGCCTACAAGATCATGGGGTCGGAAGCATTCTATTTATTCACGCATATTTTGAAATATTTTGAAGAGACTTATGGACATGATTTATGTGTAACGCTTACAATCAGTAGATGATATGATAACATGATGGTGGATGATATATATTTATTCTGTATGAGAATGGAGCACCTTCATACTGACAAATAACTAGGTGAAGGTGAGTGAGTCAGTTTAGGTAACTATGGCGCGTGTTTCTTGGTCTTACGTATACTAGCAGCGGAGTGGGGCGGGGCGGGGTGGAAGGGTAAGGATGATGGGTTAAGGTATTTTGTACTACATTGAGGGGAAGGGTGCTTGTCAGATGAGGGTTAGTGGTCATTGCTGGCTGCTAGAGGGGTTTGGGGGGTTGTTTTGGTAGAATGACTCTTTGTTCAGGAATGTGTACAGTATGAAAGGATTGGGTTTGATAATCTGAGCGAGTATTGAGTTGTTTGTTGTATCTATTATTCGATCTAATATGCCATGTACATCTGTAGTGTTTTGAAAAGTAGAGACAATAAGGGTGAGGTGAGTGAAATATTGTATCATGAGCAAGAGATGATGATAATGAAATTCTAGCAAACGCTTATAAGCAAAACATGTCGAAGTATCCATCTCACGTAGGATCTAACAGGCATTATGTCCAATATACATGATAGTGTTACCAAGAACAAAGAATTTATGTTCAAAGAAGAAAAGGATGGGAGTAAGAAGGAAGAAAAAACAAAGAAATTCACACTTTTATGCCTTGGTCCGCTGGCCCTTGGGCACACGAGCGAGCCAGTAAATGAACACGGCAGCGAAGATGTTGAACGCAATGTAGACCCACATCAGGCCGAAGTTGCGCCATGCGTCGCTGAAATAGCTGTTCACTTGGGCCAGATAGGTGTCTGTGCTGGAGATCGTGCAGAAGGAACAGTCGGAGGTGGCATTCGGGTTCTCAAGGTAGCCGCCGTAGCTGCTGATGTAGTTGGACATGTAGCTCTGGCAGGTGGTGTCTGGAGGAGGGCTGAAGTGTAGGTATTCAACAGCTTCGCAGGTAGCAGTCGTGCCTGACACACCGGTGGCTAACATGCCTGATACCAGGTACGTGAATGGTGAGACACGGTACATGAAGATCCAGAAGCCTGGAAGTTGGGAAGGTGTGGCAAGGACACCAC